TCTACAGTAGTGTACAATGATGTCCTAAGCCTTCGCATTCACTCACCTCTGACGCACCTCAGAACAACTTCCAGTCCCACAAGTACAATTCATGATGAGTGACCTATACAGGTGTACCATTTTTAACTTTTAAACTGTATTTTTACTGTACCTTTGCTATGTTTAGACACACAAATACCTACCATTGTTTTACAACTGCCTACAGTATTCAGTACAGTAACAGGCTGTACAGGTTTGTAGCTTAGGAACAATAGGCTATACCATGTGACACACGACTGTATTTTGTAGGGTACTGATTTTTACTGAACTGTCAATTCTTCTACATATTTTTAGTCTGCTTCCCTTCTCACATACCTCAGTAGCCATTTCTAACTTCTGTTTAGCCTTTCTACATAAAAGCGATCACTCTTACCCCTTGCTCTCAGCACATGATCTCTCCCCCTAATTCATGACAATCGTTCCTTGCAAACTTACCTATATTAATACTTTATATCTTTAAGTCTTTTCTTCTGATCTTAGAAGTAGTATTCTTTCCCCAACTTCAATTTAAGACTAATACCTTAATTTAGGTATGGTGAAAACGGAAAGAGCAGAAAGGGGAAAGACTCATTAATTAATGCTCCTCCTCAGGGGCTCTGCTCCATAACTTGTTTCCCACCTCACCTGTATATTCAATCTACTCTCTTTTGGTTTCTGCCAATCAGCCAACAAATATACTATAATGCCTTCCATTCGCAAGAAAAAAAAATCACTTCATATTTTACCCTTTCTACTTATCAACCCCTCCCTCCCTTCCCTTAGTTAGGGAGCAGTCAACATTCCTACTCCTTCACCTGCTATTCAGTCCATAACCCCCTCTCTAACGCTTTACAAATTGTGCCTTCATCTGAAGCTACTGACAAAAATCAATATAGTGACACTAGACTACATCAATCAACAAGAATGGGAAGGCCGGGCACAGTGGCTCATGCCTGTAATCCCAGCACTCTGGGAGGCAGAGGCGAGAGGATCATTTGAGGTCAGGAGTTCGAGGCCAGCCTGAGCAAGATTGAGACCCCAGTCTCTACCAGAAATAGAAAAAATTAGCCGGGCGTGGTAGTGCGCACCTGTAGTCCCAACTACTCAGAAGGCTGAGGCAGGAGGATCACTTGAGCCCAGGAGTCTGAGGTTGCTGTAAGCAAGGCTGATGCCATGGTACTATAGCCTGGGCAACAGAGTGAGACTCTGTCTCAAAAACAAAACAAAACGAAAAAACAAGAATGGGGAAACTTATGATTCCACAAATAGTAAGTACAATTTTGTCTACGACTATGTCTTTTGATGGGAATTGGGACTGCAGCAGGGATGTGATTATGAATTTCTCCTTGGCTCTAAAGTAGAGAAAATTGTAAACAGTAACCTCCTAAATTTTCACAAGTTAGGCAGGAAATGAGTATCTTATATTTATGTGTATATTTAAATTGCTTTAAAGTTTCTTACATTTATGTGCTGACACAGTGTTTAAAAGGAAGAAAAATTGCTTCTTATATCTCCATTAAAGACTAGAATAGAGTCCTGGGAATGATCTTCATTCTATCTACTAATAGATAGGAACTAATAAAAAATTACTTCTAAAACATCTTTCATTAAAATAATCTATCTCAGGATACAAATCCTTCTAAGCAAAAAAGGAACTCAGGAACTAAATACTAGGTTTGAGATCTTCACTAAATTACTTAACTTTCTCACCTATAAAACAGGGTTATACTGTACTCTTACTTCAAAGTTTAATTGTGCGGATTAAACAAGATAACATATGTAAAAGCACTTTACACAGTTTCAAGCATATATTAAATACCTTCCTTCACCTTAACACAGTGCCATACTCCCAACAAGCATACGATTACTAAGGAGTAAAAGTATAGAAAAAACCAATATTAAAACTTTGTGAATTTCGTGAAACAGAAAATGTGACAAAAGTGCCATCTGTTCATACTCACTAATAATCTTCAAATGAAAAGTTTGAATTGGAAGTGAAAGTTACTAGAAGATATCCAAGTATTCTGAGGTAATTCAACTCGTAAATATACTTTGATAAATTCCCAATGATTTCCTCTAAATGTACAAGATTACATATGACTTAATAAAAGGAACAGAGATAGCATATACAAAGCAGCAGTTTCCCAGGCTAAGAAAGACAAATCTCACTTGTCCTTCCTTAGGAGCAATGCATCCTAAATGGACAAAATTTCCTTAGATATACACAAAAGTAAATCAATGTATCAACAAAGTGTTTAGGAATGAAGGGAGGTTTTTCTCTAAGTCCAAAAGTAATAATAACATCCAAGACCTAAATGAATGGTCTCCAAATATTTAGAGGGAAAGACATTTTCATTGTTAGATTGGTGCTAAACTGCTGGATTTAGTAGAATACAGCCTGTCAGCTGCTAATTCTGAAAAATATTCTAGGGGTGGAGAAAGCAGGCAATCTTCCCAACAAAACAACTGCCATAAAACACCATACATATATGAGAACATACACATCTGTTAAATATCAGCTTACACTGTTCCACCAATTTACAAATTACAAGAAAGTATTTAAAATCTAAAAAAATAAATCCTACTCTACTTCTGGTCACACTTTGCATGGGTGGCTACTGCAGCCTAGGAGTTGTCCATGTTGATTCAAGGCAAGAAGGGCTGAATAATAAATCCAGTGTTCACATTCAAATGTGGGGGAAGAAGGAGAGGGAGGCTCCAAGTTCATAAAGTTCTCCTCCCTTTCAAAACACTGCAAAAATAGTCCACGTCTAAAGACACTTACCCTTGAAACTCCTTGGAGAGTGACTTGGGAGACTTTTTGTTCCAATTTTTGAGGGGGAGTGATTTAGGAATGCTGCAAGATTGCAACTTTCAAATACATGGACATAATTTAAATTCTAAGTATTTTTTCTTTCAGGAAACATTTCTCCCCTTTTCAAACAGTTGCTCAACACTCCTGTATTAATAAAACCCCCAATTCAACCTCAAGTATAAGCAAAAAAATAAAAAACAAAAGCTTTAAAGAATATGCAAATAAAGCACACAGACTATTTCCAATAATCCTTAACTCCCTCCAGTTTGGGAAGAGAAAAAAGAAACGAAGGAAAACGAAGCAGAAAAAAACACTTGGGCAAGGAAGGCGGCGAGATGAGAAAGTAGGAAGGGGTGGGGGGTAGGGGCAGAGGAAATAAGTCCAGCTGATGCTGACAATTAATTGGGAGGACAGGGTGGAAAATATCCTGAAGATACAGGCTAGAAGGGAAAGACTGGGTGGGACAGGGGCGCAATAGAGGAAGTCCACGCAAAGGGCCTACCCGAGGGGGCCACTATATAGAAAGGACACCAAATGGGGCAAGACTCATCAAGAATAACTATCAAGGGCCGAAAGCTTAAGAGACAGAGGCTGCGGAGATAGGGTGTTTCTATATCGGCAACGCGGACACCACACCCGACGTCTCGGGAAGCTATCCGGTGTCTACAGAGGGGTGAGGGGTTAACCGTGGGGGTTCGCAGACGTGGAAGGGGGTGCGGCCGCAGGGGCTGCGGGAGCGGAGCAGCGGGAGCGGAGAGCAGGCCCGCGGTCCATACCTTGTAGTAAACATCGAACTGGATGTTCTCGGGCAAGGAGCGGATGTCTCGGCGGGAGCGGATGTAGTTGTCCACGACAGCGGAGATGGCGGTGTTATAGAGAGTCTCTGGGATCCACTCTAGTTCCACGGCCGCCATCTTCCTTCCCTCCTCCTCCGCCTCCTCCGCCTCCTCCTCCCGAAGGCCCCCGCCTCCCTCCGTAGCGAACTCCTCTGCGGCCCCGGAGGATTTGGAGGGTCGGCGGCAGCCACGCGGGCACACGGCAGAGGGGCACGGCCGCCCTGTCTCGTCCGGGGTGAGCCGGGGAACAGCGGCAGCGGACAGCCTGGGGAAAGGGTGGGACAGGGAGCAGCCGACTGCCAGGCCAAAGCCTCACATTCCGGGTTTGCGAAGAAGCTGGGTTCCGTCCCAGCGCCGGTCTCTGCAGGGGCGGGACTGCGTGTGCGGCGTCATGACGTCGGCGCACGCCGGCGCCGTGGAGGGAAGGAGTGCAGCAGGCGGAAAACTTGGGAAGAGCTGCGTCCCTCCCGCGTAGAACATGCTTTTTAAGGGGCCATGGAGTTGGGTGAAGGGATGTAGACTTTTTACGCAGGGACAAATGATTACAGGATTTTTATGCCCAGTTCCGAGTCTCTGAGGCGCATCGTTTCCTTCAGCAAGTCCTGCATCAGGAGTTCTTAGACGCGGACCCTTTTGAGGCTCAGGTGAAAGTTTGGATCTCCTGGAAACGTGCACAATTATCCGTACATGGAAAATTAAGCATTCAGAGAATTCACGCCACTCTAGAAATCTTTAGATTCCGGTCCCTAACCCAGGTTAAAAACCCGCCGTCCGGGACCTAGGGGTCACAATAAAGGGAGACTTGCTTTTCATTATATAACCATTTGCACCGTTTGAACTTTTTATCATGTTTATCCAAATAAAATTTACGAAAAAAGAAAAAGAATTCTTACACTATAACTTGGTAGGAATTTTAGCCTGATGATGGAGTTACAAATAGTAGTAAGAGAAAAAAAGGCTAAATGGAGGCTATGATAGAACTTACTGGTACAATAGAAATGAAGATTTCGATTTTTTTCCAGAGTTATAGTCTTGGCTTCAAGGGATTGGTGAATATTTGGGAGTACTTGTTTCAGCTCCTTTCTTGCCTCAGCCTGAACGTCTGCAGTTTATGTAATTTAATTTCCTAAGTCTGTGATTTCGAAAACTTAATGCAACATCTTTCTGTTGTAGGAATTTAACAAGGAAATTACTGGCTGTAATTGGTGACACCATCAATCTCATAGTCACTCTATGACAATGTAAATCCTGAAGACAATAACAATGCCCTGATATTTAGAATTAAAGGAATTGAAAGGAGTTCTTTCAGTTTGCCCTGCACTCTGGTATGCGTGGTAAGTGGTTAAATAATTTGGCAAAAAAGAAACACACCTACTTTTCTTCAGTCTATATTAATTCTTACTCTATAATCCATGAACCTAGGAAAGCTGTGGTTGGCCTCAGGTTAGATTTGTCAGATTTAACAAGTAAAAAAATACAAATGGCCAATTACATTTTAAATTTCAAATTAAAAAAGTTTTTTTAAAATATAAATGTAAAATATAAGTATGTTCTGTATAATAGAATTCCCATAGTGGTCCATGGACCCACTCCTTCCAAGTCATTCATGCACTTACAAGTGCCTCAGTTCATTCAGTAAATCCTGCCTCGTATTTCACCTTAATTTATGAAGGGGAAAAAAAATCCTGTTTCAGTTCTTAGACACAAACCCTTTTGAAACTCAGGATCCCTTCCCCACAAAAATGCATAATTACTCATTATCCATGCAGATATTGCAGGAGACATAGTAAAAACCTATCTGTTGTTCATCTGAAATTCAGATTTAACAGGCCTCCTTATTTTATCCAGCAACCCTACCTCAAGGGATCCATGATTCCCCTGAAGTTGAATGCAGATGTTAGGACATTTTGGCTAAATCAGGACCTGGATTGAGGTCCTGTAAATAGGTAGAAGTTGTGTCAGACACACATATTGATTGCTATGTGGACCTCAGATACTAAGTTAGACATTTAGAAATGTATATAGACACAAAAATGACTCTGGATGAAAGGGTCTCTTAATGTCTTTACTGCTTTGAGATTGAAAGTTATTAAAATGTGTGTGATGGATTGATAAGCCCTGACCAAGAGCAAACAGACTGCCTGAAAAGATAAGGCCCCTGAAAAACAATTCAGCATGAGGGTTAGAAGAATCAGGACCATTGGGCTGGCATCGATATGAAGGGTCAAGGGCCAAAGGGGAGCAGTGGCTCCAGAATTAGCATCTATCTGCAGGCTTGGGCCTTCAAGAACTGGCTAACTAGAGAAAGCAATGGAAACTAGGCCATTTTTGTTGTGGACTCTCCTCAACTGTAGGAAGAAAGTTTTCCCTTGCACCCCAGGAAATTAATGAGGCCTACCAGAGCTAGGATTTGAACTCAATAATTATACTATGCTGTTTTTCATATTTTGGACTACAGCATAAAATCCGAGTTCCCAGTGGTCAGGACCAGATCATAAAAGGGCTTATATGCGATGCTAATGGCCTTGGACTTTCTCTCTGAGATGTTAGGGAATCCTTAAAGGGTTATAAGCAGGGAAGTAAAAGGATCAGATTTGTATATCAGAAGGAAGATAACAATAATCTATGACCAGCAGAGAGAGCCAGAAGAAGATCTAGAATCATGCACTCCCAGCTTCAGAAGCGTAGTATACAGAAAAGGCCTGCTAAACTGTCATGGCCACCTATACATTTTGATAGACAGGGAACTTTTGTATTACAAAATTACCCCTACAGTCCACCAAATCCCCTTTAAACCTTGACTTCTCATAGTCTCAAATTTGGCAGGAGGCCTTGCACCATACAGAGATATCTGAGACATGAACCTGGTCCAAAAAGATTCCTGAGAATCCTAAAAGGCTATCATAACTTATTGTGACAACTTTTAAATTGTAATTTCTTTGAGGCTCCCTTCACTGAGGGATGGGATCTAAATACCTTTCCCTTAAATCTGGGTGGACTGTGACTGTATCAACCAATGGAGTATGGCAGAAGTGATGCTACATGACTTCTGAGGCTAAATCAGAAAAAGCCATTGAAAGTCCACCTTGTTACCTGGAATACTCAGTCTTGGATCCCTAAGCCACTGTGTAAAAAGACCAACTACCCTGAAGCCACCACGTCCTGTGTGATATTATGTTTTCATCCATGGTTCCTGACTCATAGCTCCTATAACCCTTGTAATTTCCTAAGTAACTAGAGCATCTTTTATGAAAATATTTGGCCTTTTGTCCTTAGTTCCTGAAACAGCTCAGGAACAGCTCCAGGGATTAAAGATGACAGATAGTCTTGTGTTATTTATAACAAGCCCCTTTCAACCATGCCTGAGCTTTTGTTAATGAGGTGATTTTTGGAAAGTCCCTAGACAACCACTGGATGGGGGATAGTTGCCAGGGAAACCAACCAAGTGCTCAGAGGGTTGGAACTCACAGCCCCACCCCTCACCTCCCAGGAGGGGAGAGGAGCTGAAGTTTGTGTTGATCACCAATTGCCAATTATTTAATCAATCATGCCTATGTAATGAAGCCTCCATAAAAACCCGAAGGACTGAGTACAGGAGGCTTCCAGGAAGCTGGAACAAGAACACATCTACATGCCTGGAGGGTGGTGCACCCCAACTTCATGAGGGGATAAATTCTTGCATTTGAGACCCTTCCATACCTCTCTCTATGTATCTCTTCATCTGCCTGTTCATTTTGTCAACCTAAAATAATCAAAAGAGTCAGAATCTAGTTTAAAGAGAGTTTATTCAAGTGCAAAGTTTGAGGACGGCCACCCAAGAAACACAGATTCCAAAGAATGGAAGTCAGTGTTCCAAACTGTAGAAGTTTGGGATCATTTATACAAAGTTTAGGAAAGCTTAAGAGAACTTCAGCATCTTTCTATATAAGGCTTATTGCATAGTTACAATGATCTGATTAGTCAAGGTGATCTTTTTCTTTGGGAAAAGGTATATTTAACATTCCATACTGAAGATGTAACAGTCCTGGGGTCTTTTGTGCCATCTGGTCTGAGTTAGGTACAGGACAATAAAGGAGGCAGTTAATCCATAACCAAGATCAGTAATTGGAGGGGGAGGAGGTCTGGGCTCTCCTAGTCATTTACAAAACAAGAACAATGAGGAATAGAATTAATTTATTAATACAATCTAAGAAGCAGAAGTTGCAAACATGCTATGTGACTCAGTTTCCAGGGCTTAACTTTGCCCTTGCCGTAATAAATTTAGGGGGTCCTGAAATTTTATTTTCTTTTATAATTTATAACCTTTAAAATATCCTCTATAATAAACCAGTAAATGTGTTTCACTGAATTTTGTGAACCACTCTAGCAAATTAATCAAACCCAAGGAGGGAATCATAAGAACCCCAGTTTATATAGCCAGTTGGTCAGAAGCACAGGTAAAACAGCCTGGGATTTGCGATTCGCATCAATTAGCATCAGAAATGGGAGGCAGTACTGTGGAGCTGAGCCTTCAACCTGTGAGATCCAACACTTTCTCCAGGTAGATAGTGTCAGAATTGAATTGGAGGACACCCAGTTGGTGTCCCCTGCAGAACCGATTGATTGCTTGATGTGTGGGGGGAAAAAACTCACATATCTGGTGTCAGAAGCATGTTGTGAGAATATAGCAGGAGAAAGTGAGTTTGTTTTTCTACTTATACGTATTCTGAGAAAGCCCAAACCACTTGGAAAGATACATGTAAGCTCTCTGGTCAACAGTCCCTGAGTGCAGACTTTGAATCATCCCAGCCCAGGTACCAGATATTTGAGTGAAAAACTTCTAGATAATTCCAACTCTAAGACATTTGAGTCACTTTTGTTTTGTCCCACCAAACCTGCAGCCGATGTCACCCCCAAAGTGGAGGCAGGGAAGTTCCCACAAGGGAGTGCTCCAAACCATCCTCAGATGGGGCCAGTTGGAATTCCAAAGAAAGAAGCACTAAATGCTGGAGCAATCAGTCCAAAGCATTTATTGGGGGAACTTACGTAGAGAGTGCTGTATCTATACTCAGGACGAACAGGGAGAGAAAAGGATTGTTCTATCTAGCTATGTCTGCAGCAAAGGGGTTAGGGTAAAGAGTTTATATGAAGATTTAAGGAATTTGGCTGAAGGCTGGGGCTAGTTCTTTCTAGTAAACCTAGATATCTTTATCAGTGCCTGGAATGTTCAAGGCCCCAATCTGGGTTCAAGCCTATTGGGAAAAACCTACAGCTGGCAGGGTCACAGTGTGGTTAAGGCATTCTGTGATTTTCAGTTAGGACACAGAAAGAAAGCAGGGGAAACTGGGGGACCCTATACCTCAGTTTT